AGAGGCTGTTATGTAGGAAATGTTTCACATTTTCTTTCTGCACCAAGCCTATGAATTGAGCCAAAGCTTTTTTAAAAAAAAAAAATTAAAATGCAGATTTGATTTAAAGATCGTAGTTGAGAAAGTAAACATTTATTCTGTGATTTTTATCATTTAGTCTATATTGATTTATTTAATGTCATAATGTAAAATGAAAACGTGTAAATCAGACTTTATCTAATAATAAATCAAAACTTTTATCATTATTTGAAATCTGCAATGCACTCAGAATACCAGTGTCACGCTTGTCTGACAAAATGAATTCTTCATGAAAACATGCTATTTGACATTTACTATCCAACTGCCCTCCATTGACTATAGCCTATATTAATGATACCAGTGTCAATCAAGTATTTATGATACTGACATGATAGCCACTTTTGCTTCTGTCCCTCTGGCACTTCTTCAGTATTCCTAAATTTATGAAAAATATACATTAATAGAGTTCCTGTTCCCTTTTAGCAAGCAAAACTCTCTGTCCTCTCTAGTGGCAAATTATTTAACAGCAAGTGGTGGTCTTTAAACTTAGCTTTTTGCACCTGCTGGAACCAGAAGTCGTTAATTTGTCTGTAGCATGTAATTATCGCTGCCATATCTTTGCTACTTCTTCCTTTTCTGCATACCTGTAGGTAAATAAACACCTTTCCAGCAAAGGAACCTTAACTTTTTTCTTTTCCAGTGTGTTTACAGAAGCAAAATTTTTCTTACTGACTGCTACCCTGCTGACAGTGGAGCTTCATTGATAACCAATAGTTTGCTTTACTGATTGCCAAACAAACTAATTAAATTATATGAATGGTACTGGTCAGCTAACTTAAAAATAATAAGCCTCTTACGGATCAAGTATATTTTGGTTGCCATTTTGCTAACCTGCCAGGTGTAAGAGTATATAAACAAGCAGCTACAAATTAGAGTGAAGTGTAAATGTGCAGCAAATCAGCCACTCTGCAGATAGTGTGCCTGTTCTCAGAGTATCTTTATTAGCTTGTGTTTGTTATTGGGTAACAGCATGCACAGGCTCTCTCTGCTGAGCAGCAGAGTAACGTGTTCAGGTACCCATTCCCTCAGGATTTCGGTATTTTTTATTACAGGCACTCCACCACTTTGAGCAGACACCTGAAGTGAAAGACAACACAGATGCAAACCCAACGGTGTTCAGGGTGTGTGGGTGCTTGGATCCATCTCTCCACTTCACCTTCTGCTGGCCCTCCCTGCACCCTAGCACCAAGAAAAAAACAAAGAATTAATTAGAGGCATAAAAATCCCCACCACACCACAAAAACACAACTAAAAATAAATAATGTAAGCCTTATGTTTTCCTTCCTTTCCTGCTGTCAGGCAGGTTTTGCACCAGCAGGTGCTACAGGGAGCTGGATACAGCACCAGGGGGCTGCGAGAAGCTCAGCACAGGGAGCCCTTTCTGCAAATTGGAGTATCTTCACCATGTTTGGGGTTTTGCCCTCGCCTCGAGGTCTTATTTCACACTGGGGCATTGACCCACCAGCTGCTTGTGGCACTGGGCACCACCAGCCCCCTGACCTGGCAGCTCTCCGGGAAGTGCTTCCTGTGTCAGCCCCCGAGGGGAGCAGCAAGAGGAGTGGGCCAGGAGGGAGCCACCATCCTCCTGCCCAGGCCCAACATCAAGGCTTCTCTCAAACACTTTCCCCACTGTGTTAACACTGGAGCTGAGGGAAGCACCCACGAGGCTGGTTCCCCTCAGGCTGCACTCCCACCCCACTGCTGTGGGGCAGAGTTTTCTTCACTTGGGTGGCAAGGCAAAGGGTCCTCCTCCCTGCCCTCCATCCTCTGGGGACTGTGTCTGCCATGCAGGATATGCACAGCTCAAATTTACTATGTGGTGGGATGAGGGATGGGGCAGTGATAATGCTGGGGCAGCCTGCAGGTTGAAGAGTATCCTCCCAATGGAGTGGTTGTCTAGGTGGTAATTCCTGCTGTTCTGAAGTCTGCTTCAGGGTTCATTCACAGTTGGTCTCCAGAAGGAAGAAGAGCAGGAGCTGTGCATGGCCATTTTCAAGGCAGGGAGGGGATCTCCCCACCAACATCCCCAAAGGCGAGGAATATATCAAAGTGATTCACTACATTTGTAACATAAAGCCAACAAAGTCACTTCTCTGTTGAGTTTGCAGGCAAGTCCAGGGTATCATTAGTCATCAGAGATTAAGGATGGGAACAATTCTAAATCCCTGTGTGAAGAACAGGTGTTGCCCTCTAAGTCCAACCTTAAACTAGCCTTTAGTAAAGACTCACAGTCTTCAAGTCCTTATGTTGCTTTCTTGCTGAGCACTCCTGCTGGCTTCTTTAAGATGAGGAGGTAAATAATGGGAATGAAGATGAAGGTCCCCTGGCAGACAATCCTGAGAACGTGAAACAATATGAGACATTGCCAGAGGCATCTGAAGATAATGCTTTCCAGAGATGTAGAAAGGTAGAGGCCTGTAAGAACCAGCACATGCCAGAGATGCACCAGAGAGCTCTCTGGGGAGAGACAAGATGATGGTATTCATCTAGAACAGGCTCTTGAGGGCCTCAGTGTCATTCTTCTCCACCCAGAAGATGCTATAGGTGACAATCACTCTGGATATATGAGTCAGACATCAAATCTTTATCAGTGTGAGGTATCCCAGACAGAGAAACCCCACAAATGCCCCAAATGTAACAAGGATGTCAGGCGGAGCTCTGATTTGATTAAACACCAGAGAACTCACACAGGTGAGAAGCCCTTCATGTGCAGAGAGTGGTTAGCTCCCACTGGACTCCCACAGAAAAATACACACAGGAGAAAAACCCTACTCTTGTCTTGAACGTGGGAAAAGCTTCAAGTGAAACTCTCACTTGGGGAATCACCAAAAAAACTCACAGTGGTGAGACTTCCTTCAAATACATGCAATGTGGAAAAGGCTTCAGGGATTTCTCAGCACTCAGCATCACAAAACCCACACGGCTGAGAAGCCCTGTGTGTGTTCCCAATGTGGGAAGTGCTTCAAACAAAGCGCTTACCCCAACAGGCACCAGTGAGTCCACACAGGAGAAAACCTCTTTATGTGTGCTGAGTGTGGGAAGTGTTTCGAAAACAAGACACACCTCAAATAGAACTGGAAATTTCACCTGAAATGGACAGCAGGACAGCATTTCTCATGAGTCTATGAGCATTGGTACATCACCTTTAAAAAAACCCTCAATTATTAATTCTATGGTGTGAATAAAAGAAGGAAGAAATCACAAAGGCGAGAAGAAGGTCTCTGTCATAGTATGAATACCTTGCTGATGAGGTGGGAGGGGGTGTTAGAGAAGAAACATAAGTGGGGAATAAGCACCCTGTCAGCAGGAGTGGCTTGTCATGGGGATTGAAGGAAGGGATGTTGTATCAAGAAATAGGAAAGAAGCTCAGCAAAGAAGGAATTTAGCATTTATAAATCTGACTGTTGGGCGCAAGGCTCCTGGAGACGTTAAAAGGTCCCACTGTCTTACTGAGAAGGCAAAAATGGCAAAGTAAACTCTGGCAATGGGAGCTTGCATTTGGGAAAGAAGTCACTAAACTGCAGAAGAAAAATTGTCCTCTATTCTCTCTGGCAGCATCTGTGGATATTTTAGGACTTCTGTTAAACCTGGGGAAAGATGTCCCAGTTTTCTAGTATATGTTGTAATATTCCAGCTCTTTGATGTGCTAAGTGCCTTCCCCTATTAAATAGCAGCTTTGCTTCTGTTGTTCTCTCCCTTCCTTTCCTGCTCTATTTCCATGTGCCTGGATTGCCCTTTCTACTCCTACTTCAGTGACAGACACGTGGCTGCACCCCTCACTTTGGTCTCACTGAACATTAGGATGAAATATAATTAGCCTAGGAAAATGATGGATGTTACTGTGTTAAACACCTTTTTGCTTTTCTAAGTGGTGTTTGATAACCACCTTCAGCAGTGTTTTGTCTTATAAATCCTGAGAGCCTTATTCAACCCTGGAGGCAACTGTGTATATGTAAATACATGGACCTGACCTGTAGCTTTACTAGTAGCACTCAGAGGGCTGTGAATTCTGTGTACTTGGGAGTGTTTTGGAGGCTTGTGGCCAGCTCAGAGCCTTCTTCCCAGAAACAGAGTGAAAGCTGGCAACTGGAAAGGAACAGGGTATGAGTGGTGGTGACTGGAGGCCCATAGACTGCAAACAGAGAGGCCCAGAGGGGAATGGAAATGGAAATAGAAATGAAGAGTTCTGGAGGGGAGCAGAGTACGTACAGAGGTGAATGGAAAGGAGGCTTTTGGTGAGAAAAGGAGGCAATGAAGTGCGCTCTTGGCAGGATTGCACATGACACCAAAGTGGGGGAAACAGCTGACAGGCTTGAAGGCAAAGCTGCCTTTCAGAGCTACAATGTGGGCTGGAGGAATAGGCCCACAAAAACCTGACAGAATTCACCAGGGACCGATGCAAAGTCGTGTGCTGGAGCTGGGGCTGACTGGCTGGGGGAAGCTCTGCTGAAAAAATCTGCAAGTCTTGGTAGACATCCAGCTGGATGTGAGGGAGCACTGTGCTTCAGCAGCAAAGGTGGTGGAACAGTATCCTAAGCTATGTCAATGGGAGCATAGCCAGCAAGTAGATGGAGGGCAGTGATTATCCCCCTCTACTCAGCAACATTTTGACATAATACAATGGAGGGAAACAGAGTGGGCTCAACGGAGATTGGAGGGGAAAAAATACCCGAGAGGAGTGGAGCGAAACAGGGTGTGCATAGAGGGGTAGTTCTATTTTGCTGAGTGTTTACAAGGCCTTCAGTGGACGACTGGAAAACTTATCTCTGTGTCCTCAGAATATGACTGGAAGTTCTGGTGTCTGGTATTGAACTACTTCAGCTCTTACACAGTTAACCAAAGATGTTACTAAAGCAAATAGTAATATTTGCACTGGGACTATCCAATGTCTAGGACACTGAATAATTGAACTCAGCACAGACTTTAAGTCGTCAGCATCTCTGGAATTGTGATTTATTTACATTAGTACTGAGTCAGGTAAAATGTTTCTGTTCACACCATCCTGAACAGAACAGAGAAATTCCCATCTCTTAGAGTTGTTTTCAACAAGTGGGACATACACTGAAGAAACAAACACTGGATGACATCTGCTTGTTCAGACAAGATCTGCATTTTTGGCCTGAAAGTCAAGTTACACATTCTGCAGAAATTCATACGGCCATCAGAGTAGAATGGGAGCAGCACATGTGCACCTATCTGCTAAGGTTAGCCTTTGTTCCCAGCTGAAACCTGGTAATTGCATGATTTTTTTCAGCACTGTTTACTTTTTCTCAGTGTTCACAAATACTTTGACTCTGCAAAGGACCAAGGCTGTCCTGTAGTATTTTTCTCCCTTTCATTTTCTTGAAGCTGTTTGCTGGACACCCATCAGATTTATTGCAAAATTTGTAACTAGGAAAATGAGAATTTACAAGGAAGTATTAACCTGACCAAATTTCCCCTTCTCTCCCTCCACATACTGTCCTTACTGAAACTGTATTGCACTTTTGGCCTCACAATGCATACAGGGCTCAATGTTTGACTGTCAGGTGAATGGCACAACACTTAAAAACTTGTAACAGCTTTTGCAATCAAGTGGCTTCTGCCTGCTGTATGTTTGGTAAGGCTGGCAAGCGGCGCTGAGTGAATAGGGTGTAGCTGAGTGGCACATATTTGTAAAGAGAAATCATAGTTCTAGGAAAAGTTGTGCTTTGCTGGAAAAGGTGGCTTGGAGTGAAAGAAGGGTTGATGTGTTCATACCGTGGATTTTGTGGAATCTTACGAAAGTCAATCTTTGTGCTGCAAAGATGTAGAAGTGTGTGTGGACTATACAGTAAAGTTACCCTCATCAGCCTGTATTTGATAAGCAAACGAACATTTCACTTTTATTTATTCTGAGGGTGGGGGTGGGGCAGTGGGCTGTTACACAAAGTATTCTTTTAAATGCTTTGTAGTCATCTGCTCTCCTCTAGCTCAAGGCCCTACTTGTTTAGCTGGGTTTCAGCTTCTCTTTAGGCTTAGGCAGCATTGCTTTGCAAGTACAGCCTTCGCTGGGGGATCACAGAGGCAATCCACTCACCAGTACACTGCTTGGCCTCTTCCCACGTGTAGCGGGGCACATAGCCAAAATCCTTTTGTGCTTTTCTATAAGAAAAGGTGAATGGAGTATTCAGGAGGGTGACCAGGTGACGGTTGGTGGAGGGGATGTATCTGACAAAGGGCCGGAGCAAGAAGCTCACGATCTCCAGCAGCAGTGAGAAGTAATACAACATTGTCAGAGGCATGGGGAGCTTGGGCTCGATTCCAAACCCTAGGTCCTTGGTCAGCTCGTAATTTAGATCCGCATAGCTCATGTGAGGAGTGTCATCTGAGATGTAGTAGAACTTCCCCCTGACATGCTTGGCTTTCTGCGGGACTCTCAGGGCTTTGGCCGCCTGCACATGTGCCCAGGCGATATTCCCCACGTACACAGGGTTCACCAAAGCCTCCTTCCTGGAGAAGCGCAGGTAGACATTTTGGTTCAGCAGGCACTTATCCAGATGACCCTGAAGAAACGGACATCCTTCTCCAAAAATGTACATGGATCTCAGGGCACAGGTCATCAGTGTGCCGCCATCCTTTAGCACCTGGCCATCTGCTTTCAGCACAGAATCCTCTGCCAGTCTCTTACTTTGGGCATAAGGAAATTTCGATATGCTCTCATAAGCTGTATCTTCATCACCATTGAAAATTGGGTCACCTCTGCAGTTTGGGCCTGTCACTTCTATGGTACTGGTGTATATGAAGTGCTGGACATTACAGCGGACACATGCCTCCAGCAGTAGCTGAGTACCTTCAAAAGTGAAACATGCAAGTCAATCTAGAGCTCCCAAAGTAGGAAAAAGAGGGCTTTTTAGATCAGAAACAACATCTCTGGCCTGAGCTTGGTCAGATCTCCTCTCTCTGCAGCTTGAAGAATCCTGTCCTGAACTGAGAAGTACGTTAAATGAAACCAAACCTGTTTAGATTATATTTCATTACTTTCTTTATTCCCTTCCTTTTAAAAATTTGCTTCCCTACCTTCCTAAAAAGATATTTTTGCACTGAGGCATTGTGTGGCATGTGACAGAGAGGAAAGCCCTGCATCAGGCCGAGTTTAACTTGTTTGCTTCTGTTCTGCTTTGTGAGCATCCACATCTGATTTCTCGAAACATTTGTATTATAAAAGCTCTATTTTCTAGGAGAAACAAAACTTTTGTCCTGCAAGCCTATGAAGTACATAGCAGTCTTGGCTGGTCAGAAAGCCAGAAGAGCATCAGAGTGAAAGTGGAGGGAAACAGGGAAAAGAGGACAGCAGTATTTACTGACTGAGCTCAGGGTCAGTTTGCTGTGGGAGAAGGACTGGTGCGTGCTTTCATTCTAGCAAATGTTATCAGTAACCTTCACTGACCCAGTGGGCTTTTTTCATCCATGGGTAGGGAAGGGGGGGTCAGAGCTTACAAAGCTTTCTGGTTTGGGGACACTTGAATATTTGCTTGATTGTTTTTGTTGGGGTTTTTTATTATTATTTTTCCCCAGGGATTTAGGCAACACATTCTGCTGTGAAAAAAGTGATTGCAGCAGCAGTAGAGTCATAAAGACAGAGCTTTACAAATCCTCTTTCTGAACTACCAACCCTGTATATTTTCAAACTACCCAATGCACAGGTTTCCAGGAACTTGGCTCTCTGCTCTTCCTCCTGGCAGGGACCTAAGAGGCTGCCCACTGGTCTCTAATTTGTGGTCACTGACAATTTGTGGCTTTGACTGAGCAGAAATGAAAGGTTCTGGAAGCAGAAGATACTGGCAGTAAGTCAGGCTAAAACAAGTAAAATACCATCTCACTCTTTTTAAGGTGCATGTAAGAGACAACTCGACTACAAAGAATTCTCTCTTACTCTGAACACTGGTGAGTAGCCAATATTTGTAAAGTGGTGCCTGTAGAGGTATGTTCCTTATTTTTCTGTGAAGAGGTCCTGTATCTGTGGGAGAGAGGAACAAAGAACTGGGAAAACTATCCATATAAACAAGAACATCTTCCCCAAATCTTCCCCAAGTTGCTGAAGCAACACAGCCGGGGAGGTTCAGCATGCATACAGGTTGGGCAGTACCAGTTCTCTGAAAAGCATAGAGAATTTTGGGATCACAGAGAGGGGGGTGAAGTTGTTCTTTTAGGAAACACATTTAAATTTCCTGGCAACTGATGCTACACAGGCCATTCCTAGGCCAAAACTTTCCCCTTCATCTGATCTTTTCAGGAAGAACAGGGGTTCCTCAGTAGAAGGGGAGACCCCATCAATGAGTCACTGAAACCCCTCCCTCCCACAGCTTTGAGTTTGTTGGGGAATTTTTAGTTATAAACTCAAGGTGGGAGAGCACTTGTTCCTCTCAACTGCCTTCTTGCACACCCAGACCTTATGACAAATGGAAGGAAAAGAAGAAAAGGAAGAAGAAAAAGAATAGGAAGCAAAGAGCCACAGACTCTGGGATGTTATCGATGCAACATTGCTGTAACTGCAGTGTTTGTAAAAACTGAAAAACGTACACAGGGCAGGGATGCTACGTGGAGAGGGAGAATAAGAACTGATTTCTGAGGTGGGCATTGGGATTTCAGAGGTGAATTGATTTCAGAAAGTTCCACTGAACATGGGCTTGTGACTATAGCCACTGAAGGCAGAGTCTGTGCAGATCTCAGGATGGGCATACGTAAGTATTGCCAAGAGTGAACGATCCAGCAGTACCCTGCAGCGGGAGACTGGGTGTGGAGAGGCCCAGAACTGCATAGGGCTGCATGTACGCACGCTTTGCACTCTTAGGTATGCCTGTGCAAGATGCAGAACAACACAGTTAGCTTGGCTCAAGGTAAACACACATCAGGTGCTCCCTTTCCTGAGCAGATGGTGATCAGGACATAGTAGGCACGGGTTTGAGAAAGTTGCTTCACCTGCTCACCTGTCACATTGACTTCCCAGAGCAACTTCTTCTCTATGAGGCCCAGGGTGTCGATGAGGGAAGCCGTGTGGATGACGAGGGAGACCCCCTGACAGGCACGGTGCAGGAATGTCACATCTCGGATGTCCCCTTCCAGGATTTTCACCTCAGTCTTAACCTTGAACTCTGCAAGAGCAGCAGAAAATGAAGCAAAAGAGTTTACAGGCATCCTAAGAAAAGCACTGAAAGGAGTGGTGAAGCATTGACCCTGGCTGGCAGGTGCTGACAGTCCCAGCACAGGAATGATATTTTAAGGCTGGTGGAACAGGAGGCATTTTCCAATAACTGTATTTTCAAGTGCTAATGGCAGTGCTATAAAGGTCTATGTTGCATTACCTACCACATATTTGGAGCCAATATTCAACACATTTCTTTCTTTTTTATATTTAAAGAGAAATATTTTCCACTGATAGCAAGATTCCTTCAGGTGTGACTATTTTAAAGTTCAAAGGGGAGTAGCTTTGGCTACCCGTGTCCTGAAGACTGTGTGGCTATAGATGTGTTAACCCAAGCCAGGCGCTGCAAGCTCCTGTCTTCAAGGTGATGAATGATCTCTCTCCACCCACAGCATGTGAGCACAGAAATGTGTTCACACCTACTTTCTTCCCCTTGACCTTACCCATATTGCAGCTCTTCTAGTACATCACATGCAGTTCTGACACATCTTTTTCTTGTACATTCACCAGGACTTATTGTGCTTTTTCCAGCTCTAGCTCTGGCTCCATTTCAGCATCTGTGCTGTGGGGTCATTTTTAGTATGTACATCTTATCTGAACTCTCAAGACTGTTCTCCTGAGCTATCTCAGCCCTGGCTTGCTTTAACTCCTGATTTTTAAGCCCTCTCCCTCCACAGCAGCTAATGTGTATGACCCTGGTCAGCTCTAGGTCTCAGAGCCATCCTTGCCCTACATTGTGCTGAACAGAAGCATCTTTTCTACAGCCCAGAACTACACCAACAAATGAGCCAGCACAAGATGATCACTTGGAGACATTTACAGTCTGAGCCAATGCTGCTCTCCTGGGAATTCAACTGGCCTGGCTGCAGCAATGCCATGAGAGAGGAGAGGACTTTCTCAACATGACCTACAACTTTTAAGGAGGTGGTGTCATTACAGCAGGTCTTCTCGGAGACTCTGCTGTGGTTGCACTAGATGGCTCCCCAGGCGCAGCTGCTGGGGAAGGACTCTACAGCACAGGCAGATCCTCTGTCTTACTCCATAATCAAATGCCCCTTTTAGATAAGAGAAGAACCTGATCAATTTGTACAGCTTTTAGCCTCAGCCACGTCTGAAATCTTGTGCATCACCAGCTCCAAAGCAAGTAGTATTTCATCCCGTGTCTTTATTATGAAACACTGAGAGAGGTAGCTGTTGGGATCTGGAACTGAGTGGGAATATCTTTAGGCATGCCTGTAAACTTCTTAGCTTGAATTTCTTAGTGTTCTTTTAGATAGGACCTAACATCTGTGAGGTGAAGCGTGGGGGAAGGCATTCCTCATGAGAGCTCTCCATTTTCCTGATTAACTGGATGGTTCATTAAAATGGTCTACTTCGTGTATTCATGGGAGAAAATTTAAAATTGCATCTTATTTTAATTTGTAAAGAGTAAAACAATTTATTTGCTTCTTTAGCTCAGAGAAGCTGAAATGTTTATTCTGTCTCCCTTTCAGCTACTTGGATGTTCAGCTACTTTTTTCCACACTGCCTTTCTGTTTTGAATGCCCCGATAAAGGCAAATTAATGTCTGCAAGGTTGAGCAAAAAGATAGCAATTTTTCCTCAGAAAGAGTTCTGGAAAAAACCCATCACATTCCTTCTCCCTTTACTTTCCTTCTATTTTGGATCAGTGTTGGGTTAGCAGTGCAAAACCATTCAATGCTCAAGTATCACACAACCTATAAATGTGTCTCTGAAAAATGACATGAAAAGAGGGTTCAGGGAAGGAGGGAAGAGATGTGCAGAGGGGTGAGATAAGGACAAGTGAGAAATCCTCTTGAGAACAATACTGGAGTTCTAACTTCGCCAGAAGTGCCAATGCAGTAGTGAACAAAAAAAGAATTGTGTTAAATGGAAGACCAGGAAAGGTAGAAAGATAAATCTGAAGTGGGGATTGGATGTAGGAAACCCAAGGCACCGAACTACTGTGTTCAACCTGACGTTCATTCTCAGCCACACAATGTCACTGGGTAGACTCCAGCTCACAGCACTTGACATTAATTGGATCATCCTGAACTCCTCAGGGCTGTGGAAGAATGCTAATGCCACTATTCTACATAGATTGAATGCAGTGGTCAAGGTCTCAGCAGGAATGTTATTTGGTCGAAAGAGGAGTGTCCCTGAGTGTCTCCTGGCACAAGGAGCTGTAACTTGCACATACTCTTCTGTCTCTGCCCTGACTCTGCAAAGAGATTACAAGTTCAAGGTGCTCAAGAGATTAGTGAGAAAAAAACCCACTCAGCTCTGCTCCTGGCTATTCAAGAAATCCAGATAACACCTGCTAGCAAGCAAAAGCCTCCACAGTAAAAATAATGCAGGTCAGAAGACTCCAGCCCTACAGGTTTTGTAGCAGCCCTGCACTTGGAATAGGAGTCACTGTGATAGAGAAGAGCTTGAAAGGGATTGGCAGGGCAATATTTCAGGTAGTCCCAAGCACAGGCTCTGGTAGGACACTTGAGGAGATGTAGCCACAAGTGCTGATCCAGACAAAGGAACTGCCAGTCAAAGTGCAGCGGTTCAAGTCTGTTTAAGCACATCTGGAATACCAGCCTATGGTTCCTACTACAAGTTTATGGGGGAAAAAATGCTTTGATAATTGATTTTTCTCCACCTCCTGTGCTGGTCAGATAAGCAGCAGGAATTTCAAAAGAATAGGAGAGAGGGTGTGTGGGCAGTGCTCAGTGGAGGAGGAAGGGAGGATAAGAAAAGAGGGCAGAAAGCTTGCCTATTAACAAAAAAAGAAAAAATAACAGGGAAACCTTTGCTGCAGCTCAGCCAAGATTGTGCCCACACAAACAATTGTTTTCACTCCCTAGGATTGTCCTCACAAAGCTCTTCTGGCCCAAAGCAGCGCAGATGCCTCTGTTGCTGTCCTGCTGCATCAGTGCTAAACTACACACACTCTGGCTTCCTCAGCCTCTACTACAGCTGCAGGTTTTGTCTCTGTGGAAATGCTCTGAAAATCAGAGTAGGAAGGGCTGCTGCAAGGCTCAGAGCCATCTAGCAAAGAAGTCTCAGTTCTATAAAATGATCATAAAGGCTTGTACAATTTATACCAGGTTTATGGTGCACTGTTACTATTCTTTGATGATGTTTAAATGATTTATAGAAAGATTGAGGCTCTTTAGCAAATCATATGAAGATATTCCAAAAGGGTTCACATATGTGTATAGAAAAAGAAGAGTCCTGAGGTGAAGATGTGATGAAGGAAAGCATTAATAAGTAAATGTAATGTAAGGACTTAAGACCTTGATTGAATTTTGGTCCCTCTATGCCTTTTTATAGATGTGCTCAGTATCTCAGGAAATGGGACATTTAAAACAATACTCTGAGCTGCTTTCCCTGCCACAGACTGTTTCTAACACTGGACATATCACTCATTTGTGCTGTCTCCAATCCATTCAAGAAGCCAGAGTCCTTCCTTGCACTTTGCAAAGGGGTCCTGTCTCTTCTGCGCTTAGCACAAGTGTTCTGCTCTCCGGAAAACTGTGGTAATGTTAATAACAACAATTTTTAAAATACCTCCTCACAGCTCTCAGTCAGAAGATCACTATTAACCGAACTAACCAAAGGTTGAAGAAAACTGTTAGAATTTACACCCACAACTTTGTCACTGCATTCTAGTCTGGCATATCAGAGCCCAGCACAGCATGCTCTGGATAACACTGCCCTCCTGCTCAGTATAGCAAAGCTTGTGTTTTCCTTTCTCCTGAGCCAAAGAGTGAGATTTTTACATTAATTTTGCTCTGTGGGTTTTGTTGTAATAGAGACCAGGTTGAAGACAGCCTGTTTACTGAATGAACAGTCTCTCTCTCCCAATCTAGAGAAACCTCAGTGCCTGACAAGGAGAACTCTTGTTTTCATTTTACATCTGATTTCTGAACTGGAGGGAGAGGGAGGGATAAAGCAAGACTTCCTTGAAATAAAACTTCTATCTGCAAAGCTGGTTTGAAGGAGAGGATAAGACCTCCAGGCTATCCATGTGAGACAGCAACACATATACCTGCAACACACAGTCCTCATGAAATGGTACTTACTTTCAAATCTGCCAAGTGCTTCCTCACTAAAGGCTTTGTCCAGCAGTCTGATCTCAGCCAGAGCCTCCTCTTCTTCCAAAAGCAAGCGGACAATCCTCTGGCCAAGAAATCCTCCTGCTCCTGTCACCAGACAGCTTACCCCAGCCAGGGACATTGCTCTGGGTTGCTCCTTGGTGTCAAACTGGCTGTCTCTTGAGCTTAGGCAGGCTGGTTCACCTCCTGCCTGAGGGAATGAACATATGACATCAACCTCTGGAGTCTTTACAAATCAAAGGATTTTACCAGAAGGAGAGACTAATGAAAGACAAACTCTAATCTCTACAATAAGCAACAATATTTTAAGCATGTCTCACTTTTGCTAGCTATTGCTATTCAGCAGTAGCTTACAGATTTTTTTCATGCAAAGGAAGAATACTTTAAAACTACTGTAAGTGAATTAAATTAACAAATCAGAAAATGCTCAAAATCAACTTCAATGCCAAACAAACCCCACAAAAATCTGCCTCAATCCTTGGTTCCACCTCTCTAACACGCAGAAGACTGTGGGGGAGATTTGCCTGTATTTATACACTGCAGAGCACTACCTCACTCATTTTGCTCCCCCTCCCTCTTGAGTGCCTCCTTTGCTGCAAAAGAATGTGATGCTTCCATACCACCACCACCACTCCTCACAAAGAGGAGAGCTCTGGATGCAGTGAGGTCTAAGCCCTAAATTCTAGGAGAGTAAACGCTCATGCTGATAATTCTCTCTAGCTTCACTTTCTTGTGTAATACAGTGTCAACATGGAGGTAGGGAGCATTAGAATTAAATATAAATAGCAGGAGTAGCTATTTAGAGTGGTTTGAGGAGCAGACTCTATTTTTTGGGTAGTGTGCTTCCCCATTATAGCATGGGCTCCTCACTCTGTGCAAAATCAAAAACTAACCTCTGGGATTTTGTGTTTGTACATGGATTTTGTATACTACAGGCATTCAAGGTGATGAAATGGTTTAATGTACCATCAAAGACAAATTAAAGCTGCGGGAGATAAAGATTCACCTCTGGAAATGTCTGGTGTGAGTGTACCTAATTAAAACAAGGCTGCTTGTTCCTCTGCAGTGAGCTGTGTTGTTTACATGTTCAAAACACAGGGAAAAGGCCCAGGTATTTCCTGCTTCTCCAGTTCTAGCAAAACTCTTTTCTAGTGTGAGACCAGAGCAGGGTTTAGGCATTAGCCTGAAGCTCCTAATACCTGCACTGCCTTCCTGGGTCTGTCAAGACATGCTGGCTGCAGCTCAATTTTCTCTCTCTCACACACAGGGATAGACAGACATCCCTGCTGAAGTAAGATGATAAATAGGTAGCTACCTTAAGAGATAAGGAAGCTATGAAGAAGCCCGGCAACACAATTAATTAGGCTGAAATCACCGGAAAATGGGTCACTGATTTTGGGCACAGCTGGAATGAATATCTAAAAATGTTTTGCTTCCATTCACACGACTAACTGCTAAGCTCCCTTTTTTATTCTATCATAGATTTTGTTCACTCATTAAAGAGAACCCTGGAGAAAAGCTATAGAAGAAGCATCCCCACATTGTTATTTTTTTAGAGCAAAACTGGGCCTGCAAGGGACAGGAGGAGAGCGAAACCATTTCTGTTGGAGGAGAAAGGTTTCTAGCTGACACAGATGACAAAGTTTTGGCAACTGTTTCAATCCTAGCATCCTTGAAAATCCTTTCCTTACACTAACAAATCTTTTAAAAAAAATTGTTATCAGTGCTTCTTTCCTTGGCTTTTCACGGGCGGGACCTTGACATTGTATGTTCTTATCAGAAGCTGCTGCAAATTAATTTTGTGCACTTTGCAAGGCAAAATAACTGGTCAGAGCCTGCTGCTGCAAGTGATGTTCTCTGTAACAGGGCTTTCTTTTTTCTTTTAGGAAAGAAAAAAAATGCCTTAAAGAGGCATTATAAAACCAGACAACACAGCATAGCCTCTTAAGATAGAAAACACTCTCCTACACCAAGCTTGCCTATTAGAATGACCAAGTTTAGCAGGGGTAGTGCTTATATGAGAATGAGTGCTGCATAGGGGACTGCAAGGAGATTTCGTCCTCTTGGGTACTACTCAGCCAAATGCTTGGCTTAGTTTGAGGTAATTTTATACAACACTGCATAGCAGCCTTCATCTGAAATGTCATTTGTGAATGTCAGTGGTCAGACAGCAGTAGTTTGCTCAGTTCACACTCAGACCTGCTGGTGCTTCCTGCAGTCTCACCTGGAGCCAACATTTTCACATTTGGTTCTTGTTGACGTTGCTGGGTGGCTCTGTGCTGCAGACAAGGCTGGCTTTGGTGTTCCCGAAGGGGCACAAAGGCAGATGCTGGAACGTGCTGTACACCCCAGAACAGTGTCAATGAGCAACAAGGCCAGAGTCCACCAGACCTCTGACCACCAGGAAACAGCTTGATGAAATTCTGAGTTATTGCACAGGTATGGAATTTGCAGACTAAAACATGATTCAGCAGCATCTAAAAAAGTTTAGCAATGCTATATTCTGTGTCAAGGTATAGTCATTTTTTAACTATGTTGATGTCTTCTCTTTGACTTCATTGTAAAACAAAGCCACCAAAATGTGTTTCTTACAACCGTATGCCTGTAAGCTCAAAATGCCTAGATGTGGCAGCTCTGGGAAAGAGACTGTACTTTGAGATGTAGATTTACTCAAGGAAAGCTTCTGGCCTTCAGAGTGAGAGACACTGTTCCCTCTTGGAAACATTTTCCTCTCTCTTCTGGTTACACATTGACAAGAGGGAATAAGACTTAAATAATTAACTTTTGGGCATCTGTCCTGAATCACAGTCTGAATAAATACAACTTTTCATAGTGGGGAACAGTTACAAGACACTTTAATCAAGGTATGAAGATAACCACCTTAAGAGGCCTCAGTGTTTCTGTGTGTTCAAATCTGAAAAAGAAAATATCTCCTATTTCAGTAGTACCAAAATTCTTCCAGTAGAAGGGAGAAAGTGATTGTAAATGTTTCTTACATGGCCTCCAAAATCAAAGAGACTTACTTGTTGTAGTCTTTGCTATATTAGACAGCACATGAGTTGTGCAATTAACTAGAAACAAACATTTAGTCTCCTTTTCCTTTTTGTTTTAGGAAGAACTGTTTCCTCAGATGAAATTAAATATTGAATTATATATTTAAAGGCTGGAGAAAATTGCACCATATGCCAAAGGAAAATGTTTATATTTGGATCGATTTTGTAGATAAACTACCCTTGTAAATACCCTGATTCCCTCTCCCTGCTGCATCCTCCAGGGATGCTGTGAAACAGCAGGGTTTGATTAGTCCTTAACCCACAAGTTTACAATATTTTTTTGAAAGATTTAACCTTGCTTGAATTTGTAGCAGAGATATTCACAACAATCAAATACAGAAAGCAGAACAGAGTGCAGACAAGAGGGCATGAGACTTTGGTACACATTGGCATGGATCATAGAAGATTTCCGAAGTCTTGGAATAGCTGTAGGATGGACTTGTTAAATAGTCTCTCAGCCTAGTCAAACCCTGGGAGCTCTTATTTTTAAGCTCACCCACCAAATACCTTTCTTTTTCTCTCAGAAAATTGTTTCTGCAGCCTCTTTCACAGAGATACATGGTTGCCTCTGCAGCTGCATGGTAGTTGATCATGGCAGTACAGTGGTACAACATAGTACAGATATCATGTGCGGTTCTCATTTTATGATTCTGTGATATTTAGATTAAAAGGAGCCTCTGGAGGTCTCTGACCCAAGTGCTTCTTAAAGTAGCATCAGATCAGACAAGGTTGCTCTGGACCTTGTCCAGTCAATCTCTAAATATCTCAAAGGATGGAGGTTTCACAAACCCTCTGTTGCAGGATTTGACCCCCCCTCATGGTGAATTTTTTTCCCACTGATTTCTACCTGGAATTTTCCTCATTGTCTTTCACCCTTTTACTGTTCACATCCCAGAAGCTCATTTCTCCAAATGAGTAGTAAAAGACAGCAATGTGATCCCCCATCCACCTTTAGCCTTCTCAGGACTGAGTACTCCCAGTTGTCTCATTCTCTTATTGTACATCCTTGAAGTCCATCAACATGTACCACGTGCTGTAATTCCTGAGTCTTATCTGGCAGGCTGTCAGTCTGCTGACAAGGTTTATTGTTACTGGAACAGAGAGGAAGGCCTCCATGTGAAGGCCTCTGGAAGATCAGTGCAGACACTGTTATCTCTGAGAGAAATTAAAGTCTAAACAGAGCCAGCTAACAGGGCTAGCTTCTTTCTTCTGCCTCCTTAGGGACAATTTAAAGTAGGGTTTATGTAGAAGGTTGCTTTTTGATAGCGTAGTTCCCCCTGGCCATGCCAGTGAAGTGGGCACTGAGGTATTTGCCAGCTGCAAAGCAGTCTGTGGCAGGGCGTCTGAACCACTGAGAGCTGGCCTTTTGTCCCAGAAGTGGTACTCTGCTGCAGGCTCAGCTTGGAAACCTCAGGTGAAGAGCAGATTTACCATTTGCCCACAAGATGCACATGCCCAATTCTATAGGGATTCCCCTTTGTTATTGATTCCTGAGGCATGATACTTACACAAACCCGACCAGCAAAATCTTCCCTTACCCTTGCTCTATGGCCGGGCATGCAGAACTATTCAAGCGTACAGGCATTGCCTCAGTTTTGGAATACATGCTGATCTAAAAGGGGAAAACAGGCTAGGAGGATATTCTATATGATTACATAGTTTGAAAAATCAGATAGAAAATTTGTGTGGCTTTAAAGGCCAATAGCAAGAGGCAGGATTAGAGAAGAAGATATTTCAGCTCTGTGAATGCTGCAGTCCCGGACCCCTGCTAATCTTCATTTCACTTCCAAGTGCTCCATGCCTGTTCAAATATAGCTCCAAAGGTACTCCACTAGATGCCCAGATCACAGGATTTGCAAATTAGTGGCCTTTGCAAACATTTCTGGTTTAAGATGTTTATGCTATCTTATACACCAAACTTATAGAACAGCTTGATTAAAGGCTACCTTAGTAGGGTTTACACATCCTTCAGCTCCACCTGCTCCACCTCCTATCCTTCATCCCCCAACTTCAGTGTCATGGGAAAAACAGAGAAGGCGATCACAAAAAAACCACGGTGCTTTTATTTTCATGATGTTACACTGTCTTTCCTTTAAAACAGATTTTGATCTCATGTACTCCATAATAGTGTAAATGAAGCCACCTGAAGTCAGCTCAACAGTGCAGACAACTTCCATCACTACTGTTTCAGCTCCAACAGACTCTCTGAGTTTCTTAAGATGGCTTCACAATTGCAACAATAGCAAGCATTCCACCATCTTGGTTTTGTTGGCTTTAAATGAAAGCTGAGACTCTGGAGCCTGAAATTAGTGATTCTCCTGCCTCAGCAGAGCTGTCTTGAGCACTACCTCAGCTCCAAGGAACACACACTGCTGTGAGGAGCAGCATGAGCAAACCCTCAGACTAGCTGTATGCATGGAACATTGAGAGGGTCTGACTGCAAGTGAAAGGTGTCTCACTGAAATGCTGGTAAGAAATGGATGATCTTTCACTACCTGGATTTCTCCAGACAAAAGAGATTTCTTTCAGTAAATAGGAGTATAGAACAAGGAGCAAAGCTCTTGATGGTCAGCGACTAGGGAGACAGAGGAGCTCATTTTCATGAAAACAGAACTTAAATGCAGTTGTCCCAGCCCCTCACTACCTATTTTCCCATTTCACAGCATCAGCTCCAGAAGACAGTAGCTAACTTCAGGCACCTGCTCACTCTCACCCTTTCCATGTCCATGTCTAGGTCTTATAGATTTACAGAAGCAGATATAAAAAAATTCAAATGCCTGAAGGCAAGTCATCAAGATGTATTGGAGAAAGGATGCTGGAAATTCTGCTCCTCTACAGAGCTTAGCCAGATATCTCCAGTCTGCCAGCAGGCCCCTTCAGCCACTGTCATTGCTATAAGCTGGAAACAAGTCTTCTAGCAAGTTTAGGACCTAATGAGCCTCACTTGATTCTTCTAAGATATGGGCAAAAGTAGGTGATGCTGCTGCTCCCATTTTCCCTTTTTACGCCAGGAGCCAGAGGTCAACATGCTCAGCAAGAACTGGGGGAGTACAGATGTCCTCTCCTCCACAGAAAAAGCAGCACCTCTTCTCTGACGGGAGAAAGCCTTGAGCAAAGAAGCTCATAGGCAGTTTTGTGGGAGGAGAGCGAGCACTTTCTTGGAATTTGGCCACACAGCACTCCAAAACAGGGTTAGATAACTGTGCAGCCCCATCCATCCAGGACTCCTGTGGTGTTTTCCTCTGAGTAATTACTGTGTGAATTAATGATCTTAGGCCCCCACCTTCACTCTCATACACAGGAGAACTTTGATTACTAGCCTACAAAGCATCACTTTTCCCTGTCCGCAGCCACTTATTCTTGATGCTTTTACTGAACAGTGCCAGAATTCCAAGGAGAGCAGGGGGAGATCCCACTTGGTGGGAAATACCACATGCTCATGCATGATACCCAGGGCAGTGCAGTTTGCAGGACACCACTGTTTGCGATTGCCAAGAAAGGGAGCCTTGTGTGCAAGGGGAGACTGGGAGGTGCACTAAATAGGGACGGTGCCCGGCAAGTTGGTATTTCTTTGGCACAAAGTGACATGGCATCCCATTGCTGTCTGGCATCCCTCTGCCATTTTGTGCTGCTGTAACATCAGTGGCCACACTTGTGAGTCTGGCCATAAAAATTATTTATAAGAAAACAAGGTCAGGTGTCTTATCAGATATTTTTAACATCACATTGCATTTTTAAAGATGACGAACATTAGCAGTTTTCCTGTATGTACCATCTTAGTTTACTTAGCCTCATTTAAAAGACCTGATTAAGCCAGAGCAGTTAAATCAGTTAAACTCTTTGTGGAAATTCAGTTTATTCCCAGATACACTGACCCAATGCCCCACAGATTTACACGTCACATTTATAACTAAGACCAAATATGCACACAGCGGGTTCAGCCATTTTGAGTAGATAATTCTTTCTACACCTTTACTTGGACAGCATTATGTAAAGATTAAAAAAACAATTGTTGTTAAACTCCTCCTAGGGACAACAGTTCAGGATAAATACTCATGCTGCAGCCTATTGACACAGACAAACCCCAAGGGACATCAGCTCCAAATAATACAACATCAACAGATTTCTGCCCTGGCTGTAAGACCGTATGTGCCCCCACATTCCCTCATTTCCATTCCCCAGTAGCTCCCTCAGCTATGGGCAGTAGCAGACTTCCTTGTCTACTCTGGGCAGCCAGAAAGCAGCTCTGACACAGCCAAGGGCCATTGGCTTCCTCATGAGGAGGCAACACTCATGTCTCAGGAAGAAACTTGGACAGGGAAGGGATGAGCACATATTTCTGCTACCTCGGAGAGCAAGTGTTTATGCTGGCAGCAGGTGTGACACTGCCTCTGAGCTATCCTCAGACAGCAAAGGTCACATGCTGCTGGGGGGGTGCCAGCAGCTCCTGCCCACTCCGTTAGCCTGTGCTGGCTGCCCTTATCCATGGGCAGAGACCAGGGCACCTGGTGAGTGATGTACCCACTGCCACAAACTTGTGGTGTCCTCTGAAAGTGAACAGGTCTTGACTGCTACTCAGAAGAGTTTGCCTTACAAATTAACTATGTAGTGAAAGAAGAGGCTCTCTCAGCAGGGAGCACAGGGTGCTGATTTGGTTACAGGTGATTTCATTGCTCTGCGTTTAGAAGCAGTGGGCAAAAACTGCCCCCACCATCAAAGGGTAACTTGTGTGCCTGTTAACTGATACATCTTGTTTCTGTATCTGTTATGAATACATCTGGGAAAAGCCCAAGCTATGGAAGATATTGGCCACAACAATTACTATGCCAGAGTAGGAAAGTGTGACTGAGTTGCAGTCAGACTTGGTAGGACAATCAAGTGGAAAAAGCAAGGCACACAGTTTTCCATGTCTGGATGTCCAATGTAATAGAACTCGGGAGTAAAGCCCAACATAGGTAATGACATGGAACAGCCAGTTTAAAGCAAATGTATTTAAACAAGTAAAAATTACTCGAACTGCTAAGGAATTCATTGGTCTCAACGAAAGCAGAGCACAGCCTTTGCTAACACGGATATTTTCCTAATCTCCTCAGAGGTTTCCTGAAGGCCTTATCATATACTTGTTGCTCCTTCTTTGCTGTCTTCAGTCTGGCTGGGACCTCAGCTTGAGCTGCCTCTGTTTGGTGGGTATTGCAGGAGGCTGTTCACAGCTTGGAGAACCGAACCAGGTGTCGGCCAATCTCTGAGACTCTGGCACAGCCTGAAATACATGAGACAACAATGAGAACGAAAGGTTTGTGGATGAAGCTTGGAAGCCCCCTTCTCTGAATTACAGTCTTGTCTTGTATGAACTGGGTTGGGATAGGTTCGTACTTCAGTAGTTCTGTTCCTCAATGGCATCTTCAGCCTTGAGGTTAGGCACCAGAGTTCCCACACAAGTAGAGTTAGAAACATGAAAAAAAATGATCCTTACAACAAGCCGAGCAGAGTGTTATCTGATCCAGTCAGCAGAGAAAAGGTAGACAGAAAAGATACAGGGATTGCTGGGTGCCAAGTGACCGGAGGTGGAGATTTGCACTGGCATTTCATCTGGTCAAAAATGGGTGGAAGAGGGATTCTGGTTGGCACCCAGCTGGACATGAGCCAGCAGTGTGCCCAGGTGGCTACAAAGGCCAATGGCAACCTGGCCTGTATCAGAAACAATGTGACCAGCAGGACCTGGGCAGTGATCAGGCCCCTGAATGGGGCACTGATGAGGCTGCACTTTGAATCCTGTGTTCAGGAGAGATTTAGACTGGATATTAGGAAAAATTTCTTCACATGAAGGGTTATCAAGAATTAGATGAGGCTGTCCAGAAAGGTAGTTAAGTCACCATCCCTGTAGGTATTTAAAAGACATGGAGATGTGGTGCTTAGGGACATGGTTTCATGGTGGGCTTCGCAGTGCTGGGTTAAGAGTTGACCTTGATGGTCTTATAGTTCTTTTCCAACCTAAAAGATTATATGGTTCTATGAATTTCACGCTTCCACTAAAAAGATCCCAACTTGCTGCTCTTGCTGAATCCAGTGCCCTTTTGCATGTAAAGTGTAAGAGCCTGCTGGAAAAAAAAACCAACAAAACAAAACAAAAAACAAAACCCCCACAAAACCAACAAACCCACCGTGTAGGAATCTTTGCTAGTTGAAAAAGTGACCTGTAAAACCAACCGTGCCAACAGGATTTCAATTCCAATCTCCTAGTCAGCATTGTTATCCACTTGAGTTCATGGTTGCTAGAGCATGAAAATCTTTAATAAGATCCTTTGCTGATGTCTCAATACTCCTGCACTGGATCTGCATGTCATGCTTAGTATCATGGAATATCCTGAGTTGGAAGTAGCCCACAAGGATCATGGAAGTCCATCTTCTGGCCCTGCATAGGACAGCCCCATGAATCACACCATGTGCCTGAGAACATTGTCCAAATGCTTCTTAAACTCTGACAGGTTTGGTGCTGAGACTTCCCTGGGGAGCCTGTTCCAGTGCTCAACCACCCTCTTGTTCATATGTGAAACGAGTTTGCACTGGGCTCTGCAAGTTTGCTGTCAGTGAGGGGATCAAACATGGCAGCTACAGTTGGGAGCAATAGTGAGAAATGAGAGTGAGGAACAAAAGTAAAATCTTGGAGGAGACATGAAGGCTTTTAAGGCATGTAAAATGCAGAGGTTTGAACCTCCACGAACAGGCTGTATTCTCCAATATGCAGAGAAAAATTCTGCATCCATTTTTAATGAACTTTTCATGCAGAAAAAAATTGGTTCCATTTTGCCCTGATAAACAATATGTCAAATTCTGAAAAACATATGCTACCATTCCCAGCAGAACAAAAATTGCAGGTTTTGCTCAGCTTTACTTAGCAATTTTGTATCTCTTTAGCTGGGTCACAAAGCTGCTTTAACCTATTTCCTCCTTGTAAGTGTCATTGCTCTGACACCTGAAATGCCAAGTGGTTTTCTAGGAAGCAAAGAATCACCTTAAGCATAGCAACTTGAACCGGCACAGGTCAGGTGGATTCCCTTTTTGTGACCCATCCATCAGACTTCTGATTTTATATGGCTTGCATGAAGAAACCTCTGTATCACCCATTGCAAACAACCTGCAAAATACTTACCGGCCAAGGCCATCGACAAACGAAATTCATCCTGCAAAATTCTCAAAACGTCCTGGAGACCTTCTTCACCCTGCTCCAACAGAGAAAGCACTCAGGGTAAAAGGAACACTGGCACAGAGCAATGCTGCAGGATGCTTGCACTGTGAGAGCTGGGACAGTCCCTTAACCTCGTGCCAATTCCAAGCTCTCAGACAGATGAATGATTAAAACTTTATGATGGATGTGCTCAGTTCATTGCAGATTAATTTAAATGCTTTTCCTTTTGTGATACATCTGAACATGGAAAGAAAACAAAGCTGGTTTTCACTTGTGACATTTTCTAGCTGGTTTCTTCTCTTAGCTTTCAGTTTTCCTCTGCCAATTGGCTTGTTATTTAAAATGTCAAGCCTTACAATGCTGACAGTTTTCAATGAAGTAATGAGAGTTTTATATATGATACTGCTTTAAAAACTTTAGTTTACTCAAATACTGGTCTGAATCTTCAAAAATAATATACTCTGTGTTTTCCCCTGTGTGACACCAAGAAGCTCAAAATCCAATAAATTGTATATAAGATTTTGAGTTTCTTGTGAAATACTGGGTGATTTTTTCTTTTTTCTTTTTTTTTTTTTTCTCTTAAATTTTCTTTTTACTTCTTACAAGAATGTTTTGGGTGCAGACAATGTTAGTGCTTGTTCATGTCCTTCCTCTTTGTATGCTAGGGTAACACACCGAGATACATCTTTAGGAATGCTCTAACTTACTCATCTTTAGGAATTTAATACCAAAGCACAGTTAAACCCCCCAAATTCCATCTCCATTCTGCTTGCATTGTGGAAAAAAAGAAGGCAACTCACAGCAGCACCCTTTTCATGTTAGGCCCTTTTTTTATGTTTACTGGCAAAAGAAACAGTACTGACAACTCTTCCAGGTTTCTCAGAAGATTCAGGTGACTTCTTGCTTAAAATCTAGCTACTGGAATCCACAGCAATCACACCACTGGACAAGAGTCTCATTCAAAAAATAGGAAATGTTTCTAGGCCATAAAAATAAAGATTTTTTTATTCTAGAGAAAAGTTTGGAATCTCCAATCGAGAGGCTAAATAGCAAAAATTTAGTAAAGCAAACAACTGATGTAATAATATTTTAATTATATTATGTTAACTTTCTGCATCAGAGGCCTACTTCATGCCTCTGGATTGTAGAAATATTCCCATAGTTAAGAAGCAGCATATATAGGAAATTGTGAAATTCAGTGGTATTTTTAAATCACAGAAATGTCAGATTTGGGGTGATTCCACTTAAAAATCCATTAAAAAAAAAAAAAAAAGAGAGAGATATTCTTTACCAGTGAAAACATTTTCTCTATGACTTCAATAACAACAGAGTGTTGAAGAGTATGAGAAGCAGGCATGTGAACTGAAAGCTCCTCACTCACCTTGTAAGCCAGACCCCATAAAGCTGGTCTTCCAATAAAGACGCATTTTGCTCCCAGTGCCAGTGCTTTCAACACATCACTTCCTTTTCTTATTCCGCCATCTAAGTAAACTTCAACTCTGCCTCCTACTGCCTCCACAACTTCAACCAGAGCATCAATCTGCAAAGAAGCATCCAGTCTCACCTTGAGGTCATCCTTTGATTCCAAGAGAAAGAGGATATATTCCAAAGAGACAGGCAGGGAGACAATGCTTCCATAGCATACCTTCTCAAAATAAAATGTGATGATGCATCACAAATAGCTCAGCACCAAAGGCTGCAGGATAAAGTGCAGCTTACGGGATAGTTAATGTGATTTTCCAGTGCTTTGCCTATACTGATATTTTTGTTAGCACTTCTGGTGAGTGCTTTATGGAAGATTTTATATATAAATTTCAATGAAAATAACTGTTATTAATATTTTACTTTCATTTGAGACAAATGTTTGTAAAAAAGGCTGATGTCCAAACTGCCTACAGTTTACATTTCAACCTAATCCTGGTGACCACCTGTAGAATGCCTCCTCAAACCCCCTAAAGCATCTATGAAGGATTTCATTTGCTTTGTATGACAGTCAACATATCATTTCCTCCAGGTTAAGTCTCCTGATTCCCTAAGGTCTTTTTGGTAGAGTCCAACATGGACTAGAGTCCGAGTTGCCAGTGCAGGGCAGCACCATACAGAGATGCTGGCTCTGGTCCCAGAGGCAGTACAGTCAGAGGCAGGACATTACACTAGACCTAATTAACTCTCGGCAAACCCAATGGCTCTTTTCTGCAGTCTCTTATACCCTTTTGCCTCCTTTTAATTTTTTTTTTTTTTTTCAAGTAGAGCAGCTATAACTAAGTAAAGCAGATTTTTCCAATTAATCCAATTTTTTTTCAGGACTTCAGACTAAAAACTTTCAGGCTGAAATTTTCTAGGAGTAGCTCATCAAGGACAGGGACAATAGATTCTATTGTCAAGCTTGGTACCAAAAGAATATCAGAGCCAAACCGGGTATCTACTGCCCTGTCTGTGTATGTAAAGAAACTTTTATGATAGAAGAGCAATTCAATATGGATGCCATTTCTGTTATTATGCCCTCAGCATTTAGACTATAAATATTTTTTATTCATTATTGTCAGGCTTGATGTAGAATAGAAGACAATTCCCTGGTACCTATTTTTATTTTACAAAAGAAAACAGAGAAAAAACCATACATAAGATACTATGCAATGCAGAACTGTAAAATGAGGACAATTGGAAAAACTGAGAGAAACCAAATTAAACCAGTGAAATACACATATGTCCAAACAATGCTTGATTTCCTTGTACAGTTTAAAAAGCAGGGGAATTTTTTTCCAGATAAGTTATCCTTTTTTTGGCTCGTGAAAGTCAATAAATTCCCATTTAGACTTGAGTCCGTAAATACGCAAGCAGGCCTCTCACTAAATCTAGCTGCGTTGTTTTGCATGTTTTGACAGATGTGAACAATGAGAATACATTATGCTTTCATTTGTACATTTTTGGTTTCAGAGCTTCGTTTTCCTTTTGCTGCAGTGCGCAAAGAGTTTGTGTGCACTGCACCAGCTCATGGAGACACAGGCAGAAAACATTTCCTGACTTAGGCCAGTACTTTATCTGCAGTTATGTGGTTTCTGCAACACTCACAGAACCCTCCCAAGAAGCTGAGAAAATACTTCAGTGGGTAGCTCATGCCAAGTTACAGATCTTACAAGTTTAAAGCTAAAGTACATCTGCACACACCCACGACCACTGAACAAATACAAGTCCATGAAAAGTGTACACACAGAGCTGGTCATAGAGATACCCAGGTTAATGCAAATATGAAGACTGTAAGCAGTCATGGGACATACATTTTCTCACTTACAGTGGCAGGTCCTTCATCCAGTTGTCTTCCACCATGATTGGACACAATAATTCCCTGGACTCCGTGTCTCACTGCCAGCTCTGCATCTTCTTTTGTCAAGATGCCTTTGATGATGATGGGCAGGTGGGTCAGGCTCTGCAGCCAGTAGATATCATTCCAGGTGATGGAAGGATCCAAGCTGTTGGGTGGCAGTCCATACTCAGAACGGTCATCTCCCTACAGCCATAGAACAAAAGAAAGCCTCATCTGAGCTGCAAAAATCAGAGGTCCCTTGAAGTTTTTCCTTGCCATAGAAAAGATTAATTAAACTTGCTAACAAACATGTTCATCAGCTCCAGAAAGCATATATCTCTGAAGAAGAATAATTACAGTGGGGGTGGAGATCAGTTTGTCTTAGGCATCTGGATGGGGATTTTGAAGTCGGAACCCAGGTTGGCAGGAGATCAAGGCAGGATGCTGCAGAACCAGAAGGGGAGAAGATACACCCTGGGTAGAGCAGATGCCAAAGCAGCAGTTACCCAGTGGTTTTGTCTCATGTGGTACATGCCAGCAGAGTGAATGAAAGGACAGGCTCATTTTACAAACCTCAAAGTCTCGTTCCAAGTTCTTCAGTTTCATGTGGGGTGGAAGGCAGAAACCATTGCGGATATCGTCGCGTCTTTTGCCCGTGTAGGGCAGATCCGCGGTGAGGACAAGGGCCTGGAAACCCAAGGCCTCTGCTCGTTGGACCAGCTGACGGGAAACTGCCCTGTTGCGGTGGATGTAGAGCTGGAACCACCGGAGGCCCCCGGGAGCGGCCGCAGAGATCTCCTCCAGCGTGCAGGTGGAGTACGTGCTGGCAATGTAACAGGTGTTCATGGCTTTGGCTGCTTCAGGACGTATTGAAAAAGAATCAGAAACAAAGTGATTTGAACCATCTCACCAGACATCAGACACAAAATGTTGTGCTCTTTGCAGAGACTTCCTGAGCTCCTGTTTTACGTATATCCTATGAAGCAGTGTGCAATTATGACCCCCGGATTAAAAGTAGCTGTATTTACCACACGCTAGTGTAGGATCATGGTTAAGAAAGCGGGAAAGAGAGAGGCAATTTACCAAGCTGCGCGTTCATTTTGCAACTACTTTTTTTGAAAAACCATGAATTTTTTCTTTCTGACTGAGTTTTCACAGGAATGCACTCTCAATTCCACTTGGTGTACACAGAAATACACAGAAGAAAAGAGTAATTTTAAAGCATCAGGTCTCCAAACCCACCATAGGATTTGTGAAGAGATACCATCCCTCTTTTTTCTCCAAGGGAGACACTTCTTAACCGGTAACAAGGAATTCACAGTCTGAGTCTTGTCCACCACTTTTATGACCTATCTAGAGCCACCAGGACTGAGAACCTTGTGTGGTTCTTGGTGTGAGTCAGAAATGGGTCCACTGCCCTTGTCTTAAGTTTGCAGCAGATTCCACAGTGAGGATCTTGTAATAGTGGTAGCTGGAGAAATAGAGCAATGCCTATACAGGTTCCCATGCAGAGTGTCAGAAAGTGGGAAAAGAGTTTGCCCCTTCAAGCCTGAAAACTTTTCTCAGTCACACTCCAAGCCATCCTAAAAGCTTCTTGAGGCTTTTACACAAACCACCCTTTTCGAAACATGGCAGCAGACCAGAAGAGTACCTCTGGCTGTGCTTTTCTCTCCATCAGGCCATGCTAGCTGGTGGAAGCCAGTGGGGGCGATTCCTACAGGAAAGCTGATTTCAGTCCCCAGGATCTTAGTCCTAATATCCATCATGGATACATCCCGCAGCATACGTGGCTGGAAACGAATTCTACAAGGCAAAAAGAACCACATTCAGGATAGTAGATGTTCAGTGACTTTTCCGAAGTTTCATGGAAACCAGGTCTTCATTTACCAACTACAAGGAATCTGATACAATAAATAGAATAGCATATAACAGAGGCTCTTCATCCTTTCTGTTCACTTTTAGGGGTCAGTTCAGCCAGAAGTTCAACCACTTCCATTTTCCATTAATCCTGCTTACTGGCCACAGTACTTAATTTCTTCACTTCCAATTCAGCATATTCTGTGATTCTGTGTCTTGTTCTCCCATTGTCCACCTCCCAGGTTGCTTCTACTTGCAGCCCAATCCCAGGTTGGTGCCTTCCACTTCACCATTTGTATGTCTGTCCTCGCTGTACAGTGTGCCTGCCCTCACACTCTGCAGCATGTTCCCCAAATCCCATCCTACTTACTTAGACTTCCTGCTTTTCTGCAAGAGCTCCCTGTTGCTACTCATTCTATTATAGCTACTCATCTCCTTTCCTGTCATGCCTGTATACCACACGGTACCGTACCATACCCTATCACTTGCCTGTACCCTCAGCATCACTTATGCCTCACACAATCTGTGTCACAGTCAGGCTGGCATCAGACCATGCAGCATATATCATTCAGGTAAGTGCATTTTGCTTGGGGATCACCTTGAAAAGGCAAGGTCTTAGGTGTCTTTGCTTGTGAAGTCCAAACACTTGCACAAAAATGTAGTTTAAAAGCTCCCAGTACAACACCCCTCGTTTCCTCCTCACATTACCTTTTATATGCCAAGATGTTTTCATCTCGTGTGTTACAGTCATCTGCTCCAGCTGCAAAATAATCCCAAGCAATCTTGGGTAAATACTTTTTAGCGTAGGCTTCAAAGTCTGAAAGACACACCATAGCCATTGCTGAGAGAGGCTCTGGGAACCTTGAAGAAAAGAATAACATGGAGGAGAAATTAGATCCCTGAACTGTCATTCTCTCTTCCAGGGGCTCTCATGTCACTCAATGCAAATCTTTGAGCCATCTGTCTTTTAGAAGACCTGCTGAGAGGTTGTCTCTGTCTATTGGGCACATCAGTCTATAAATGCATCTTCTCCCCTAGTATGAGAAAAACTTGCAGATGAAGCTATAGGAAGCTTGTATCTCTGGGCCTTTATTCTGTTTTAAACAGCAACCTGAAGAGGACATTTTAGGTCCTCTGACCTTTTAGTTGCATAATTCTGTCATAAGTTCCATCTTAAAACTAGCTGGGTTATTTGTTCCACTAATTCTCCTCAAAGTTTGTCCCAGAACATCATTTGCTAGATTACCCCTAAGGACAGCTCCCTGACTGAACAATTAGTTATGGAACACAGTGATGGAATTCGAGATTATGAAATCTGGAAACAAGTAAATGCAGAGTCTACATCTAACCTGCTCCAGCATGAACGCATTGTAAAACTATGTCCAGACTCTGAGTGCAAGTGGAATAGCAACTCTGTGGAAAAAAACAAAGCATTTTCTACAGATCTTCATTTCTCTTCTCTAACAAATATCTTCTGGGTGTTTGAATTACATGACATATACTATAAAAGGAGCATACAGAATTTGGACAAACCATGAGAAAATACTGGCAAAAAACAATTTCTGCAAAATGAAACGTTTCTAAGAACTACCCTCAGCCTTTCAGGGAAGACAAGTGATGTTGTGTTACCCAGATGGCTAATCAAACCAACATAAATGCTGCCCAGCAAATGCCTGCACTTACATACTTTTGAAGTAGCCAGGACTAAAAGCTGTGCAAATTAATGTTTTAGCAAACCGTGGCTGTGTGTGAGGAAAAACATGTACAAAACACAGACAAAGGCAATTTGCTAAATTGTTTATTGCAATTACTTCCACAGCTCTGATTAAAATAGGCATTTAGTAAGGTATATGAAAACATGAAGTTTTTAAACAGCTGTGGTTCAGTCTGATTTTTCTGAAAAACATACAGGAAGAAGTAAATATCCTAATTTTCAGGATTAGCCTCCCACCACAGATTAGCAAGGGTTGCAAGCTTCACCAAAATCAGTCCCGTGTGTCTGATGTTGTACAGTTCTGGCACAGATAAACCCACGGGTTATGTACACAGAAACAACCTGTCAAACTGCAGGCATGGGGATGTCTCAGTGACTGAGGTACCTGTGTTTACATTTGAAAACAAGGACTTAAAATTCTATGCTAGAAAAGAGCCCAAGATGAGGGAGTCATTGGAAGATGAAGAAGAAATGCGACTGATTTCTTCAGTATTATTTTGTCTCATCTGACAGGCATTAGGTAGCCAGTGGTGTCAGTATGCCAAGTCCGCTCTCTATGCATTCAAGACATCAAGCACTGCCGACAGCACAAGTCTTCTCACATATATACCGTGACATACTTTAAACAATGTGTCACAACTTCTGCTTTTCCAACTCTTACAAAGGTCAAAACCAGAAAGCACAATAAGATAAACCAAGTCCTCTCACAGCAGAATAAACTGCAATTTTAAACAACCCAGGCTCAGTCCTGTCTCCCAGTTCAGGTCTCAGTTCAGACTTACTTTGGGTTTCAGAGAGAGCTGCAGGAGGTGAGAGCTTCTCCCTCAGGTTTACCTGCAAACAGGATGTAGAGAAGGTCTTTTCACTGAGTAGATTCTGTTTTTTCTAGAATCAATAAGTAACCGTCAGAGATTAAAGCTCAATCCTGTGGTAAACTTTGTACTGTTTGTATAACACTAATGTTGTTTGGTTATCAGGTGATTAAAAATTCCTTCTAAAAACATGCATCACCTTGTCAGTGGTGCGATTGCTTGGGACAGAGCCCCAGAGCTGAGCTCTGGCAGCTGCTGATGGCTGTGCATTCATTTAGGAGAGCAACACTATTTCAGGGGTTTTACTGAATCTCTAAACTGTTGATAACTTGCTGTTTCATGTGCTACAGATCCTACCAAAATGATGATCCACAGACAGAGTGAATTGTAACAACCCACAGCTACAGAGCTTGGACTTTTTACCAGTACATGTGAAAGAGATATTTTTTGCCTCCTACAGTATATGAACAACTAAAATACCCTTTGTCTTCTGCCATTTTTAATGGGCTATGAGTGCTCTCATGATCCAGTTGCTCTCCCACTGGGCTTGCAGATTCCCTCCTTTGGTCCCCCACTTAGTCATCTCCCAAGAAGATTGCCAGTCCTTCTTTTTCTGTGCTTGGAGCTGGTGGGACTTCTCTGTGCCTCCCTCCATCTCCTCTGTTAGCATTACAAACCAGGACTGAGGTGCCAACAGATCTTAAATTTGCAAGATACAAAAAATAAACACTGGACAGTTTTATTTGTCTTTTGTTTTTTTTAGCCTTTGGGGTAAAAAAATGCTTTCAACATTTACATGCATCTCTGAGATCTTGAAGCTTTGATTTTTACTAACCAAAAATTGAGATATTATGATAAGAGATGTAGAGAGTGAGGAAGAAACTTGTTAAAACACTCCCAAAGTTTTACAAGTACTGTTGTCCTCCCAGCCCAAGCAGCCCAGATGGGGCAGTGAGAAGCTGAACAGAACTGCAGCCTCAGAACCTGGTGTTCACCTGGCTAGTCTGGTCCAGAACTGCAGACCTGAAGTTTCTGACAGCAGAAATTGTAGTTCACTGACACCATCTATGCAGCTGCAATGAACCCCTGTTCTTCTCTTAGATGTGTTCACAAGATCCTGCCCAAAATAAATCAGGCATGGTCATCTCTACTGTTGTGTTCTGAAACTTGTTAAAATTCAGCCTTCAGAGCTCATTATCTGCCAACAGCACTGTGAAGTTAGCTTCTGGCATGGATAGCTATGGATACAGGTGTCACAAACCAGACAAGGTGTCACACTTAGCTAGAGTGCCCATGAGCTCTTTGTTTTGCTTTCCTGCTCAGGAAGAGCTGTGCAGCAGATGGCCTTCAGGTCACTTCTGAAGAGAAAAGCTGTGTTCTCTGTATGTGCACACAACCCTGGGAAAGGACGGAAAATCCTGCCCTCATTCTTTCTCCGCTAGATGTCAGGTTTGGGTCATATATATCAATTTATGTTGTTAAAAACAACAAAAAACCCCCAGTACTTGCTGGCCTTCAAGACACTATGGCCTTAAACCCACTACGATCACATCACAAGAATGCCTGCTAATATGTTTGGAAATCTTCATTCTCTGTGTTTTATTCTTAACATTTTCTGGTGCGACAGCACAGTAATAAATGTAACTACGTCTGGTCTGCCCTGATCTTTGTTTCAGCCTACAAGTTGTCTGCAGGGTCCTCTGTCATATTTCTCATTATGCTGATCAAAGGACTCCCCTACTTTAGGGATGCACATTGCAGGCAACTCCCCAAACCATAAAGTTTATGGTTTCATGATTATCATAATTTTACATGAATTAAAAATAGTCTGTGACTACTGTATTTTGGATCAGGAAAGGGGAAAAATCTCTGCATTTGTGCTGTGGCTTTTAAAAGGCTGTACTTTGCATCTAGATATATTTTCTTCCTTCAGCAATGGGCTCAATTCAAAGTAGCAATGACTTTTTTGTCCCAAAAGTGGTATTTTCTCTGATACTAGTAGAAGTCCCATGATTTAGCTGTGAAGCTGTTAAATTCTAAGAAAATCAAAATTTGCCACAGAGATAATATCTTTGATTACAGCTCCTGTATATACTCAAAAAAAGTGGACAAGTTTTAAAGCTCTAGAGCCCTTTCACTGGAGTACAATAAAAGTACCTCCCTCCCACCCTCCATTATTCCTTCCTTCCCTCCCTTCCTCCTACCCTTCATCCCTCCCTCCATTATTCCCTGCCTCCCTCCCTTTAAAAACTTTGCTGGAAGCCTTGCTACCTTCTTTTGAAAACTGAATAAAATAATATAGGAAATAATTGCACATCTGGTCCAGGCTTGCAGGTAGAATGTCAAGCAGTCAACAGCCAAAGCTCAGTTTTTGCACAGATCTGCATAGTCGGGGTTTTGCAGCTGCTTACTTTTCAATACTAACATAGTCAAAAGCTTGTGGGTCCAAACACAAAGATCCTCTGTAAATCTGTGCTCCAGTTCCTATTACAGTCATGATGCTCATTACTCCAGTTGGTTGTATTTGTTTGCTTTTCACAGATGGCAAATCACTGTGGGTCAAGTTGACATCTCTCTCACTGATGCATCCACTAGTGGTCGGTTCAGTCTGGGACTTTGAAACATTTCAGTGAAGAATCCGGTGAACTCTAAGCAATGTAAATAATTCAGATGGCATAACAGTTTGCATACGGTCGCCACTGTTTTTCCTTATCAGATGTCTTTCTTGAGCATATGCCTCATGTTTGGAAGGAAAATTCTTGTCAGTCATACCAGAAAGTCTATCCCAAACTGAATATTTAAATAGCCATCCCTCTGTTATAGGAGGAGATGGCAACAAATCTTATATTTAACACAGCCTAACACTTTTGATTATAAGACATGTTTTTCAGCTGTTTCTAATCTTTTCATATTTTGATCATTCTAGGCTGAAATTTTCCATCCTTGATCTCTGTGTTGGGTTGAATTTTATTTCGGGAATGTTTCACTGAAAGTTGGTCAGCAACTTCCAAGAATGAGGTTGGTGAAAAATGATGGTTGGCCTATGCTGAAAATGTCTTACAATGGTTTCACTGCAGTTCAGTGCTTCATGCAGGGACCTGAAATTAGTGGGGCCTGATCCCTGGAATCATCATCCTGGACTTCTGGTCATATGAAAATTCTGTCAGATCTGACCCAGTTGTAAATCATTGCTTTCCACTTGCACATGATCACCAGAGCTTGCCTGAAATCCAGATATTATCTTTGCTGAACACTTGCCTAGTGCAGAGCATGCTTCTGCCATAGGAACTCAGAGAGCCCCAAATATGAGCAGAGGCCTGACCCCACTCTCCCACACCCCATGCCACCTGGGTTTGGACTCAGCCTGAAACAGCAATAAAGGGGAGAAGGAAGACAAAAATAATGGCTTAAAAGAGGAGCTGTGGGACAGCACCTAGGGACAGGCAGGGTGAGATGTGCCGAGGCAACAAGGTCAGAGACAGAGCAGATGGAAGCCAAGAGGGCAGGGACATCTTGGGATGACAGGGCTTCAGGGGGATAGAACAATCAAGAGAAGGGGACAAATTAGGGGAAGAGACAGAAGGGCACTGTCTGTGACATACTGCTCTAGTGTTCTAGGAGACTATCAGATATTTGACTGTTCTTTCTGCAACCACCTCTGCCTCCAAAATCCAGAAGAGAGTTTGATTTATTCTCAGCATTACTCTGCAGAACAGCAAACAGCTACGGAGTCCTTTGGGAAAATGTGTCTCATGTACCTGGGTTTAAATTTTCAGAAAGGAAGTGTTTTCTGCTAGCAGATTACTTCTCTAGCTCATGTGACAGGGCTCTGTACTGGGTGCCTGGAAGCCAAACCATGTCTCCCATCTCCAGTGTAGTGCCATGTGGTAAAATGTGATTTCTAAGCCTTTCTTTGTGGCTTACCTAATGTGCCAGAAGGTCACCTAACTACAAGTGTTCACACTAGGCAGACATCTCAGTTCGACAGCTGTACCAGCATGAGAGAAGAGGTCTGAAGCACACCAGGTTTGACTACATGTATCAGAGAACACTGAGCAAAGATCTGCTAAACCAGTGACAACAGGGCACAATGAAATCACGGATGCAAAAGGATATTGAGTTGGGAAAGAAACATCGAGGGTGGTAATCCACAGCCAGTTAATTGCCAGTAGTGCTATGTCAGCACTCTTCCAGTCTGTGAGCATTCAGAGTGGTTCTTGAGATTACCAGCAGTCCTAAACTCTGTGTTCTGCACCCTTGTCTATTAAATAGAGATGACTTTGTTATTATGCACAGCACCAGTTCAGGACTATTCTTTTTTTTCTGGGCCCTGCAAGAGCTAGTGGACTTAGATTGCCTGACGTATTCGGAAAACTGTGCCTCATGGGGTCCTAATCCCTCACCCTGCTACTGTAGCCCTGTATGTGGAATCTCTTCTTCATCCTCTATCGGGTTTAGGTTAGAAGAACAATGATCATTTTTTCCTCCAAGGTGTAGAGATCCCTTCTGTCCTCTCATAAGGTGAAGAGAATTAAGCACAGTAGATTTTCCACGTTACAGGCTCGATCTCCAACTTGATCCCAACCCAAGGTGCAGCAGAATCTTTCAGCTGACAACTGCTTTGATGTACTGGAGTCTACCTCTCTCCCACAGCACATCTGTCTTAACCTCCTTGGACATGGCAGCTCATAGGTAGAGCACAATGTACCCTGCCACCTATCAGTCTAAACCTTCCTACATCTCTAGATTTCCTCAATCATCTGAATTTTTTGTAGTATCCTTTCTTTCATGTCATACTTACCCTTTTCCTTTATTCCTCCTTTCTCTCCCTCAGAAAAACAGAAGAAACCAGGAGCATGACTCTGGGTCCTACTGTGTAAGTCTGTTCCATTCCATCTCTTCAGATAAGGAAGATCTGGAGTGCTATGTGGCACTGAAGAGAGATAATGTAGTCTTTTTACCTGGCTACCCCTCTTCAGAAAAGACCTGGAGCTGTAGAATCTGACACCA